AACAAGAACAAAATTTTAAAGAATATTTTTTAAGACAGGCCTAAAATAGGGTCATTATCACTGACAGAAATTATTATTACTAAAAAACTAGTATGAAACGGAAACTGGTATGCAAAAAGTGAAAAATGTACTCATTAACTAGAACAATAATAAGAAAAACAGCTGCTGCTAAGGTCAATTTTACTACCTCAAGGTACAAAATATGCAAACGTTTGGTTTCCACATCAAAGGTAAAATCATTCATCTTAACTTCCTCCTTAATTTTAAATAGAAATATAAAATAAAAGACTGGGGTCAAAGCTGGGTTTTTGTAGTCAATGCAACGTAAAATATTACTGCAATAGAAAAGTACTAAAGATGCACTTCACACCACATACTCATATTTACCATATGGCTGCTGTCAGAACAAAACCTCGTATCTCCAAAATGGTAACTTTACAGGAGAAGGAAAAAACATGCTTTACTTTTAATGTAAGTCAATGGAACCAGACTTTTCTCCAAGTCATTTTGGGCCATTTCTTTTGGTTCATTCATCATGAAATTTACATATAGTGTAAAGGGAAACAGACACTTTCAAATTATGTCAAAAACTGAAAAACGACAAAAATGAAGATACAAGGTTTTGTTCCGACAGCTGCGATATATAACAGCTCAGTTTCCCTTTTCATTGGTTTTTAAAGTAATTATGACCTAACTAACAACTATTAATGACATCATTCTAACCATTCATAAACTCTTTATAAGGAAATAAGGGTCTACAGTAAAATGGACCCCTTAAAAACTAATGAAACCGATGAACTAACTGAAGTAAACTAAACTGACTGCTCCAAAACAACACAACACGGCACAAAGAATCTCTGAAACAAACAGGCTCTCTAACAGTCTGTGCTGAGGGAAATGTTCATTCAGCTGATACAAACCTGCTGACTGTGATTCTGAGTGTAATTCTAATGAGCGCTGGCTCTGAATGGAGGCGAAATCGGGCTTTTGTAGCACTCAAACTCCAAGCAGTCAAAAATAAAGGGGATGTAGTGGAGCAGAGCTTTAAATGGGCCTTTATTTATATCTTCAGCTGTCTCCTTCATCAGGAAAAAAGACCCTTGCATTCTAAGCTGGAAATATCCCCCTCTAACCACAGATATGTTCAATTGGAATATGTTTGTTGCAGCCTCTTCCCTTTCCACGCACTGTCTGCACATTTCTCACACCCCTGTTGTTTGATGGCTTTTAACCCTTACGAGGCCCCATTATTGCCTGTGAACAAAAGCAAGCCGTAGTTTAATATGAATTATTATATGACCCGCAGCTCATTGAAAACAAGAGGAGAAACTGTGTGGAAAGAGTCTAAACTTTCATTCCAGACCACATTAGTGCTTGTAAGTAGAAGAGGAGATATTTTATTATGATCTGAATTTGATGGAGGGTTATTGTTGTGTGTACAGTCTTGTTTTTAACATTACAAAAAGAGACATACTTTATACTTGAGAAAATTGTAGGTTTTTTTTACTTCTTTAACTTGATCCAGCCAACATCAACAGTAAGACTGCTGAACTCTAAATAAATGCTGCTTCAATTCTTTGTTTTAATTACTCCATACCTGGGAGCTACAGTGCAATACACCCTCTTGTATATATACTTATTTAAAATGTATTTATCTGTTGACATAAATATGTTTACATATGCGCCACACTCTGCACTACATTGCACTTTGCACTACACTGTATTACTTATAATTCTCCCTGATCCACCCTGAGCCTATGCAACGTTATTTCGTTCTAATGTGCACTGTACGGTGTAAATTTGAATGACAAAGTCTGTCTAAGTCTAAGTCTAACATTTTCTAGTTTTCTCTTCTGAAACGAGTATGCGCTGTTTGTTTTGGTATTAAAAATTTTTGTTTTGGTATTAAAAATGACAAAAACATGGCAAACGTCCACCCCTAAAAGCTCCTCACAGAAAGTTATTACATGAAGTGGTTATGAATTCACTGCATGATGCCTGAGACACGGTTTTACGGCAGTTTTTAGAAGATTTTGGCCAAATACATATTATAAATCTAATGTACAAGCAGGGAATTTTAAGGCAAAATAGTCCTCAATGAAAGCCTTTTCAGATTTACTGCTATTTTAGCATCATAGGGATGTAACAATACAACATATACTGCTATGTAGAATACAGAATTATATCATATTGTATCGTGACTAGCATATTTGCTTGAGGCCATAAACTCTAAACTTCTGTTTCAGATATAGTACTTTTGTAATATTATATTCTCTAATAAACTAAACACGGAAATATTAACATTTTAATGTAAGGCACATTTTCACTCATTTTTGCTGTGTCAAAAAATGTATTGTATTGAGACTCCACTGTATCGTATCGGATAATGAATTCTGTGAATATTTACATCCCCACAACACTACATGACACATTTTGGATAGTAAATTAAAATGTCTGTATTTGTGTTGTAGTCATGGCGACCCCTGGTTCCTATCACCACCACTGTAAAGAAATCTGAGTCTCTACAATCAACCATTTCACACCAAACCACTCTGAATGACTCTGTTTACATCTCACACTCTGAATTATGCAGAGATTTTGAGAAACGTTGAGAAAACTTTAGTCAGAATTGTTCACAGTGGTGGTGATGGGAACCAGACGTCCACCTTTAAAAGCTCGCTCACAGAAAGTTATTGCATGAAATGGTTATGAATTCACTGCCTGATGCCTGAGACACTGTTTTCTGATTGTTTTGAGATAAATTTTGGCCTCAAATGCATTTCTTTAATTAATTCATAATGGAGTACATGAAGGGTGTTTTAAGGTAAAATAGTGCAGAAAGAAAACTGAACATCATCATTCTATATAAAACTCAGAAGACTCATGTAGGTTCACTGGTGGTTTTGGATAGTAAATAAAATGTCTATATTTGTGTTGTAGTCATGGCGACCCCTGGTTCCTATCACCACCACTGTAAAGAGTCTCTACAATCAACCATTTCACACCAAACCACTCTGAATGACTCTGTTTATACCTAAATGACGATGAAAATTTTGAAAAATCAGTGGAATTCCCCTTTAAGTTATCCGGCTCGCTAAGTAGTTTTGTTGGCAGAAATATACCCCCCGGTCTGAGGCTGCTTGTGTCAGTCATAGTTCAGATTTCGAGTAAAGCCAGACAGGGCGAGTCAGCAGTTGTGTTATGTCCGCTCTGGGCAAACAAAGAATGTAGCCACAGTGAAGCATGTTGCTCAAGCTTGGACAGTGACATAACTCTGACTGGCCTACATGTGGGCAGTGACATGCAACTGTCCAAACGTTTCATCCAGAGATGCATGCTAGGACCTGTGATGCCTTAAAGGGGAAGTCTACCTATTTCTCAAAATTGCTGCATAATTCAATGGGTGAATCATTCTGAGTGGTTTGGTGTGAAATGGTTGATTGTAATGACTCAGATTTCTTTACAGTGGTGGTGATAGGAACCAGGGGTCGCCATGACTACAACACAAATATAGACATTTTATTTACCATCTAAAACATGTCATGTAATGTTGTGGGTCTCAATACATTTTCAATACAGCAAAAATAAGGAGTGGCTGAAAATGTGCCTTACATTAAAGTGTTGATATTTCCATTTTCATTTATTAGAGAATATATTATAAAAGTACTATATCTGAAACAGAAGTTTAGAGTCCACGGCCTCAAGCAAATATGCTAGTCATGATACAATGATACAATATAATCCAATATGCTACAGTATATGTTGTATTTTTTCATCTCTATTATGATGAAATAGCAGTAAATCTGGAAGTTTTTGTTGAGGACTATTTTGCCTTAAAATTCCCTGCATGTACATGAGATTTAAAAATATGTATTTGGCCAAAATCTTCTAAAAACTGCTGTAAAACAGTGTCTCAGACATCAGGCAGTGAATTCATAACCATTTAATGCAATAACTTTCTGTGTGGGAGCTTTGAGAGGTGGACGTCTGGTTCCTATTACCACCACTGTGAACAGTTCTGACTCTGTAAGTCTCTCTAGAACAGAGCGTTTCACACCAAACCACTCTGAACGACTCTGTTTACATATTAACCATTAATTAAGCAGAACGTTTGAAAAATCATAATTATAGAGAAAGTTTGAAAACTTGGTGGAATTCCTCTTTGACTGATGTTAAGGCACGTATAGACATGATTAGTTGTACATCTGAGTTAGTTTCACTTTCACAGACATGGTTTAGTTTGCGGTTGTAGTGAGTTATTGTTTTTTTAGCTTGCTGTGGTCAGGGTTTAGCCGTTAGCATACTGGTTGTGTCTTTGTTGAGCTGCTTCATGTTGCAGTGTCGTAAAATACTAATTGTATCATTACACTGTGCTGTATGTGTTGCTGCCTCTGTGATTAGAAGTGCAGAAAGTTTTAACATGAATTTCAGAATTTCTCAGTATTTGGTGGTGTGTTCCTATTTTGCTTTACTCCACAAGTTTGTGCAAAAGCCTCTGATGAATAAATCACACCTATTTAAGACACAGGACTAAAAAACTAAATATATATTTAGGGCAGCATAAGTAGTGTTTGTGTATTAGCTGTTTAGCTAATTCAGATTTTTTTAGCCTGCATTTTGGCAGAATGGGTGGGTTTTTTGCTTATATATACATATATATATATATATATATATATACACATATACACACATATATATATATATATATATCTTTAGCCAAAACACTCCAAATTTCATATGTTGTTGCATAATATGATTGTAATATCTAATCACTGGAAAATGATTGTTTGAATTACTGTGATCTCAAATAATTGCAATTAAGTTATGTAATAATATGTAATAACTATGTAATAATTGTGACAGGCCTATCAGGTGTTTTTTTTAACATTGTATCGTATCTTGACACCTGTATTGTGATACATATCGTTCTGTGAAGTGCGGATAATGACCAGCTCTGCCCGCCACCCGATCAGACACAAAGTGAAAAGGTTTGCACTCACTGGAGTTGGTCCCGCTGCCCGTGCCCACTGTGTTAATGGTGGAGGGCACAGAGGACGACGGGTAGAGCAGCAGGTGTCCGTTCTCGCAGCCCTGCTGCGTCTGCCAGCCCAGGCCGGAGTCGCGCGAGCCCTGCCAGCCGTTGAGGCGGTCGTCGGAGCCGTAGCGCTGGTGCTGAGGATAGAGGTGCTGGCTCTGGCCGCCGTGGTGGGACGAGGATGACACGCGCTCCAGCGAGTCTCCGGCCCCCCGCGTAGCCGCGCGCTCCTCCAGGTGGTTCAGCCACAGCGCCAGCTCGGCCCGGTCCTCCAGCGACGTGGCCGGGTGGATGAGGGCGTACGACAGCAGCTGCCTGCTCTCCTCCAGGTGCCGGCCAAACTCGATGGTGTGGGTCAGGATTTTGGGCAGCAGCCGCATGTACTCGCCCTTCGCCTCCGCATTGCCCGGCTTGAGGAGGGGCAGGTGGGTCAGAACCAGAGAGATCAGACGCTCCTTCGGCTCAGCCTGCCACTGACTGATCACCACTGAGAGAGAGAGAGAGAGAGAGAGAGAGAGAGAGAGAGAGAGAGAGAGAGAGTCAAAGACTGGAACTACTGTTTTAAAAAAAATAAAATATACAAAAAGAACTGAAAAGGCAGACACTGAAAAACAGTATTCTGAATTATTGAATTTCTATGATGCATTATCCAGTAACAACTATGAATTATTCAGTCTCTATTATTAATTATTTAGTAATTACTTTAAATTATCCAGTATCTACTATAATCTATTTAGTATCTATTTTGAACTATTCAGCTACTAATTCATCTACTATGAATTATTCAGTGATTACTATAAATTATTCAGCATCTACTATGAATTATTCAGTAATTACTATAAATTATTCAGTGATTACTATAAATTATTCAGCATCTACTGTGAATTATTCAGCAATTATTATAAATTATTCAGTGATTACTTTAAATTATTCAGCATCTACTATGAATTATTCAGTAATTACTATAAATTATTCAGTAATTACTATAAATTATTCAGTAATTACTATAAATTATTCAGCATCTACTATGAATTATTCAGCAATTACTATAAATTATTCAGTAATTACTATAAATTATTCAGCATCTACTATGAATTATTCAGTAATTACTATAAATTATTCAGCATCTACTATAAATTATTCAGTAATTACTAAAAATTATTCAGTATCTACTATGAATTATTCAGTAATTACTATAAATTATTCAGTATCTACTATGTACCTTTTGGAAACTACTATGAAACAAATGTTCTGTAGTTATGAAATTGGAGGCCCTTTAAGATCAAAGTCAAAAAAGGCTACACAGCTGACTTCTCGCTCAGAAACCATTACAGTGTATCCATCAACAAAGGCAGCGCGGAGCTTATTTCATACAGTGATTGGAACACAGTAGCTCACAGGAAAGCTCCAGCTCCACATGCTGATCCATTTTACTGACCAATATGGACATCAGTGCTCACCAATGCAGATTTTAATCAGTTTAAAGGGTCAGAGACATTAAGAAAAGCTTTATTGTCCCTCAAACTTTTGACAGGCTGTCTATTCATACAAAAATAAAATCAAATTTATGAAAACCACGGCACATTTTGAGGGCGAGTAGGTGAGGCTGGCTTTAGCGCAGGTTTGAAACCTGCTGGCTGTTGTTTACAGACTGAACACATTTCCTGAACCTGTCAAAACCCACAACTCACCATCACTTGCCACAATAACAGGAACACGGACCAATAAAGCATCCACAGCCAAATATGGCTGGCTCCAGCAGTGAACAGGGAAGGGGTCATGCCTTCATTTCTCCTAACCAGCTGCCACAAGTCTATGTCTATGGCATTACGCAGCGGCCGAGCAGACGCTATACATATCTGCAGCAGCGTAACCTATTGTGGCATGTCTCAGAAACGCTCAGCCCGTCCAGCTTCAGCAGGGCTATACATACTCAGGGTCAGGGACATTGCTTTGTCCACCTCCACAAATAGGCCTGTTTAGAGAACAGCACAAACATCCGAACGAATGCGTCCAGATTAGGCCCGGGAAATACCGTTAAAAATCTTTTGTATGCAAAAATTTGGGAGTTTCTAAGTGAAAATAGGTTACCACATCCTCTATAGACGGCATTTTGTGCTAATTTTCGTGCAGATTAAGACAACGGAAAAAATAAAATACCAAAAATGCCATAAACTTTGGCACAGGCCACATTTTATGTTTTTTCCCCCATTGTGTTCATTAAATAAACAGTAGCTGTGCATTATAATGTGTAGAAATCTGTTCTCTGACTAAAAAGTAGCATGTAAAAATCTGAGAAAATGAAATGTGGTGTGTAATTGTGAATAATACTACTACTGCTACTAACAACAATAACAATAATAATGACTATAATAAGGTAATATTAGCAATAATTATCAGTAATGACCATGAAATTGGTCATTTTTTGTTTTGTCTTTGCTTTTTGTACGCACTTGCATTCTGCGCTGCAGTCTGTGATCTGAAATGCCAGTCCTTGTTTCACTTCACTTACCCACAAACTAGTGGCTGGTGTGCTGCTACACAAGAAGAACACCATCAGAAACAAGCCAATGTTTAGTTGTCATGAGGTCTTTTCACAGCAGGCCGATTGTCAACGCACCGCAACATTCACATCAAGTCCAATGTGCTTCTTTTGTTAAATAAACACTACGCGCACAAGAGAAACCGTTTCACCAAGGTTGAAATGGTGAAACGTTATTTTTCTTTATCCTGTGTAGCAGAACACACTCCATACCCACTGTTTCACTACACAAATAAAAAGTGAACAAGAGTAAACGTAAGAAAAAACACAATCAGTAATGAGCAGCAGACGCCTTTAAGTTGCCAAAAATAAATGAATAAAGAAAAGTTGAACAGCATGGGCAGTTCCACTGACGCGCACTAGTGCCTGAAACTCTACTGCAGGCCCCCTGTGCGCTTGTGCTATGAGCACTAAAAGAAGTGAACAAACCATGTGCAGTCATGATCTCTGATCACGACAATCGCAATCGGCCAAAATCGGATTGGTAGATCTTTGCTCAAAACAAAAAATCAGCAATTGGACAAGCTGTTTATGTTTATTTTGTCTGATCTGTGTTGCAGGTTTATGAGGTAAATAAGATGAGGCAGGCAAGCGCTCTCGCACTATAAGTGAATGCTGCTGCTACACCTGAACAGCCAGTTACCTTTTAGTTTCAAGGTAATATTTTATTTGATTCATTCCTTTTAAATAGGCAACTCACATAAAACTGAAAAACTCAAAATGCCAGTTCGGCCCATTAAACGGCAAGTAATGTTGTTTATATTGCAAATTTGGCCAATAAAAAGTACTGGAAATTAGTTAATGTGCTCATTTAGTCCACACAGCCTGAGATTTGAGTTTACAAAAAAAGGCTAATAAAAATCTACTCCCAAAAAAATCAGCCATTGGCCAATTTCACTGTAAAGAAATCAGAATTGGCCAGAAAACCTCTTTTTTTTAAAACCTTTTTAAAACACCCTCTCAAAAAAGCAGCCTCAGTCAGTGTGGTGTGTCCTCTAGACTAATATAAAGCACAGCTTTTGTTTACTGTTTCTTTGCTGCTAAGAAACCAGGCTAAGCTCCACTGTGCCACTCTAAAGTCTCTAATATTGGATTTTTACAATATTGAATGGTCTAATAAACCGAAAGTGGAAACATTAACATAATAAAATCAACATATTTACATTTTCAGACACTTCTTATTTTTACTGTATTGAGGAATCAAGGCACCAGCATATAGTATCAAATACAATTATGAATTTCGTGACTTGTTTGAAATTCGAGATTTTACAGTTCACTGAATAATTTCTTAAAGAATCTTCTTCAGTCCTGTTGGAGAAGGTTTAAGTGGCTCCTAATGAAGCTGCTTCAGACAACATCAACAGTGTGTAAAGCTGCAGCAAGGCAAAGCATTGATACTGAAGAATCTAAAATGGAAAGTTAAACAAATTTTAATTTGGTTTTTGGTCACTGTATAATTCTACATTCGCTGTTTCAGTATAATTCTAAAACGTGGAAAATAGTAAACAGTTTTAATTAGTGGATGTGTCCAAACTTTTGACTGCAGCTCCTCTGGACTCTGCAGTTGCTTGTACAGCACTGTGCAAAAGTCTTCCTATCTACATTTATTAATTCTCCAGTCATTATTTTTATTACATTTAAAATTTTTCATTTTTTATTGCCAAAAAAAACTACATTTAACAGAAAATTACACAGAAGCCTCATCCACTAAATATAATATCAGATGTTACAGTGTTTAGTGTGTCTCTACTTTTATTCCAGCTTCAATTCTTTTCAGGAGACTCACTTTCAGTTCCTCAAAGAATCTGCAGACACACCTCCAAAGTTCAGTCTTAGAAGCTGGTTGATCATTTTCTGAAGTAATCAAACACATTCAGTGATGTTGAGGTCTGGACTCTGGGGTGGTCAGTCCATTGTCCTGCTTCTTTGTTTGATGTGTTTGTCTCCTTTTCTCAGTGAGGCTTCTTGACAGCTACACATCCTTTCAGACCCACAGCCTTTGACTTTCTACTTCCTTGTGCAACTGGATTATGTGATGCCTAATCTCCTCAGAAATACCTCCTGAAAAAACAACTTGTACTTAATGGCTGTTTTGATGGTAAATTAAATAAATTAAAGGTGGTCTCCGACTTAAGCACAGTACTGTATGTGCACATGAGTATATGTAGTGTTTAAAGTGTTTAGAGACAGACAGGATGTTGTTAAGGGCTGATTCCTGTGTCTTGTTTAGGAGTGTTTAGAGAGGCTCCACGTTTAGAACACACACACCCCAATGTCACCCAGAGCAGGGTGGGCTCAGACGGAGGGACGACTGTTCAGCCGTGATTAAATGTTCCTCCGGGACACCTTTTTCTGGCACTTCCATTTTTACAGGCCGGCCGCGGGGCTCCACTGAGGCTGCAGGGAGGCAACAGGAGCCCCATTCACTCTAACAAGGGTGCAAATCTGACCTCAGAGCGATTCGCTGTTACGATTCTTCAACAAGTGACTCAACACATCACAAAATCTCAAACGTCTAACAATTCAAGCTGCCTTTGATACAATAAGGTGCCTAAAAAGTGTTTTATATGTTAATGTTTTCATTTTTTAGTTATTAAAGCATCCAGCAACATAAATGTACAACATTCGAGATGTAGACTGGCACAAAAGAGTTTCTTTGCAGCACATAAACACTAAACCAAGCCAATGCCCTGGTCACAAGATAGCATGTTATCCATAAGCTAATACCGAGCTAACACCCTATCCACAAGCTAACACACAAGCTGTTAATGTTAGCCTCAAGCTAACAGCCACAAAATAACATGCAAGCTGCACACGTTAGCCCAGAGCTAACACCCTATCCACAAGCTAACACACAAGCTGTTAATGTTAACCTTGAGCTAACAGCCACAAAATAACATGCAAGTTGCACACATGTTAGCCCTGAGCTAACACACTAGACACAA